CACGCCCCTTCGCCCGCCTAGTACACCCCCGCCCCCACGCTCCTTCCCCCGCGCGGGACCCCACTCCCAGTCCCCCGCCTGGGACCCCTCGTCCCCACACCCCGTCTCCAGTGCGAGACCCCCGCCACGTCCCACCCGCGGAGAAGCCGGTAGCGAGCGAATCGGCACATGCGCGCCGCGAGCCCGGCTGCGCAGCCTTTCCTGGAAGCGGGGCGCAGGCTTGCGCATGCGCGCGGGGCGGAGGAAGCGCGTAGGTAGGTGTCGGAGTAAGTACCGTCGCCGGGAAAGCTGGAAGGAGATCCGGGCGTTCCCCGCATGCGCACTCTCCTCTCGGCCAGGCTGCTTGGCCGGGAAGACCGGCGGAGGGAGAAGGAGGCAGGGCGGCGGTCACAGCGCATGCGCACTCTTCGCTCGGCTCTGCTACGTCGCCTGGACTGGGGCGCATGCGCGGGCATGCGCGACGGGCCCAGGGCGCGCGTTGGCAGGTGTCCGGGCGGGTGGCGGCGGGCGATGGGACGACCGGCGGTGCTGCTGCTCGCGCTGTGCGCAGCCGGCGCCCGGGGACTCTACTTCCACATCGGCGAGACCGAGAAGCGCTGCTTCATCGAGGAGATCCCCGACGAGACCATGGTCATCGGTCAGGCGGGGCGAGGGAGGACAGGGCCCTGTGTGTCCCCCAGACGCGGCCACGGCGCCCCGCGGAGTGTGGGAGCCGGCCGGAGCAGGCGGGTCGTGACGGCTCTGTCTGCTCCGCAGGGAACTACCGCACCCAGATGTGGGACAAGCAGAAGGAGGTCTTCCTGCCTTCGACCCCCGGCCTGGGCATGCATGTGGAGGTGAAGGACCCGGAAGGCAAGGTGGGGCCACCGCTGCTCGTGCTCGGGCTGTGGCGCGGGCGGTCTGCAGCCTCCACGGGGCCACCCTTCCCCGGGGCTCTCTGGGCCGTGCCCGGCGCAGAGGACAGGGCTGCGTGCAGGTGGGGGTTGTCACGGTGTGTCCCGTTGCAGGTGGTGCTGTCCCGGCAGTACGGCTCCGAGGGCCGCTTCACCTTCACCTCCCACACGCCCGGTGACCACCAGATCTGCCTCCACTCGAACTCCACCAGGATGGCTCTCTTTGCCGGCGGCAGGCTGGTAAGAAGATTGCCTCCTCGGCCACAGTTCGGAATCTTTCCCCTGATTCCACCGAGTTTTGAGTTAACGGCCACCGTCCTTTGGGACACTTTGGGACACAGTCACAATCAGAGAGACGGGTGTTGCATTTCTGCCCCACAGCCAGGGACGAGGGTAGGATCCCCAGCCTGGAACAGAGAGTCGGAGGGTTTCTGACCTTAGGGCTTTGGGGCACCACCCCCGTGTCTTTCTAGCGCGTGCACCTGGACATCCAGGTTGGGGAGCATGCCAACAACTACCCCGAGATTGCTGCCAAGGACAAACTGACCGAGCTCCAGCTCCGAGCCCGCCAGCTGCTTGATCAGGTGGAACAGATCCAGAAGGAGCAGGATTACCAGAGGGTAAGCATGCGTCTGACTGTACTCGGATGTGGCAGTTGACCTTTGTGCCTGCTACGCCCACTGGAAGTTTCTGTTTGGGGGCTTTCCCGATTGGGAGTTCAGCTGTTCAGAGAACGGGGTGGAGAGTGTCCGTCTACACGGCCGTTTCCAAGCTTTGTAGACGGAAGTGAAGTGAGCACAGCGCCCGGCCTAGCAGAGATGCTTGTGGAGGGCCGCACACACTCTCCTGGGGCACTCCCGGTGAAATCCGAGGCAGTGTCTCCAAAGCCATTTGTCCTGAAAGTGGCTTTCTCGCAGGAGGGAGGGACCTCCCAACAGCTGGGACCGTTTGTCCTGCACGTTTAACCCTGGTCCGCTGTCCCCCGCAGTATCGCGAAGAGCGCTTCCGTCTTACCAGCGAGAGCACCAACCAGAGGGTCCTGTGGTGGTCCATTGCTCAGACGGCCATCCTCATCCTCACTGGTGTCTGGCAGATGCGTCACCTCAAAAGCTTCTTTGAGGCCAAGAAATTGGTGTAGTGTCCTCTTCGTATGATCCCTCCCCGTCACCTCAATTACCTGGTACTTTCCCCACCCACTACCTTATCCATCTGGATTTTGAGAGAAAAAAATGAAAAAAGAATACAAGCCACATGGGTTCCATGGCAACAAAGCACTCACATGGGTTCTCAAGGACCCAGGACATTGGTCCGAGTTTTCAAAGGTCTGTTTTGGGGTTTGTGCAGAGTCGAAACTGACCCGGGACGAAGTCTTGCTTCTTTCACCTCCCGTGATTCCCCTCTATCCTGTCACAAAAAGAGCAAGTGAAAAAAAACCTCTGCTGTTCCTTTAACTTCTCGCTTTCCGTCTACTTAGGCAGTAGGCGGCTGAAATGCCCCACCAGGGAGTCCCTGCCTCACTGTTCCCTCGTCAGAGTCCTGGGTTTGCTCAGTGGCTTTGTGAATGTAAATAAGGGGCAGAGGCCTCAGAGGATTGAAATGTTTTTCTATATATTAGAACTATTTTTTGATAAATTATATATATTTTACTTCCTAGTTGAAGTGTTCATGCCTGTGTGTGAGTAGCTGAAAAGACCAGTGCGGCCTCGTGTGCAATCTGTGTATCCGTACGTTTTTGCTGAGGGCCCTAGCAGCTCTCAGACACCACGGGTGCTCTCAAGGCCTTCTGAGAGGGCCAAGCAGGGATTCCCCGGGACACCTGGGATTTCCATGCCGTGGGGCCCCAGACTGAGGAAGTGGCGGAGCACGCACAGGCAGGGCCCTCCTCCCCTCGTTCTTCTCTTCACTTTTATTTAAACTGTGCTAAATGTTTTCTTCACAGGAACCACATTTGGTTCTTCATACGGATTTTTCCAGTGAAATAAAACGTGTTGTAGTAGCTGTGTTGGAAATGAACTAAGAGGTTGTGGGCAGAGGGGAGGCACAGAGGGCAGTGGAAGAAAGGCCCCTGGCCTTGCTGGCTGCCATGCTGGCTGGCAGTGGGAGGGTGTCAGCAGGGGGGCTCCTGCCGCCAGGGTTTGGCCTGATGGGCGTCCGTGGATGCAGTGGCATGGCCACTCTCAGAGGTCAGACACGTAGGCCCACCGGCCAGGAATCACGTGAGGAGATGAAGTCCCTGTTCCTCGGCCCCTGGAGTTACACTGAAGCATCTTAGTACATTGCCCTTCTGCCCTTCTGCTGTATTAAACTTGCCTGCTCTTGCCTGGGGGGCTCAGTCGGTGAAGCGTCATTTGGCTCCGGTCATGGTCCCAGGGTCCTGGGATCAAGCCCCGCAGCGGGCTCCCTGCTCCGCAGGAAGCCTGCTTATGCCCCCCCCCCCCCAAGCTGGCTTGTGCTCCTCTCTCTCAAAAAACTAGAAACAAAAAAAATTGCCTGTCCTTGGCTTTTTACTCCCTGCCTTTACTGATTACACATGTCTATTTAACATACACTAATTTGACTGACAGCGAAATCTTTTTCTTTATGTCCTACACAGTTCACGTATGTACCTATTTTTACTCATAAAAACATGAAAGCTTGTTTTCTAGGTTTTGACTTTTAATCTTTTAAAAGTATTTTTTAAAACTAAGTGTTCCTCATATTTCTAATTCTGGGTGGTTGTATAACTGTCCAATGAGGTGAAATAACCGTAAGTGACTATTCTCTAAAGTTTGGGAATTTAGGATGGTTTTCAGTTTTCTTAGGTTAGAATGAACCCAGGGAAAATGAGATGATCCTGGAACTGGTTAGCCGTGTGGGCCTCTGGCTTGAGGTTCCTGGGGACTCTGAGACAGGCCTGGAAGGGAACCTGCCTGCTCCTGTGCCTGTTCTCGGCTGTGGGAGGGCAGGCAGCCACCACTGAGAGCCAGGGCGGCCTTCTTTGGTCTGTCCCACTTTAGACAGAATTGAGTGCATCTTGTTTCTGCCAGTAGGTCGGTAAGTTCTGGGTTTCTCCTCTTGTCAAGGTTTGATGGGAAGGGGCATTTGTCCCACTGATGGGGCAGGTAGAATATCGATGGCCAGAGGATGGGCCAGCGGGTGGCGGCTGTGGGGAGGATTTCCATGCTGCTGTGTGACAATCACATCGTGGTCTAGGGAAGTTGTTTTTAGAAAGCAGTTTGGCCACATTCAGGGAATTTTGATATTCCTCCCAATACTACCCTGCTTCTATTCTGAAATTCTTGCTTTCTTAGACTGTATGACATCGTTACCACAAAAACCGGAAGGGCGGGGGGGGGGGTCGTCGTCGTGGTGAGGCCTGGTTTCCCAGCAAAAGGGAATGAAGGTTGCTATCGTTTGACTTTAAAATGGAAAGATCATCTTGGATTATGTGGGTGAACACAGGGTCATCGCAAGGTTCATTAAAAGTGGAGGCAAAAGGTCGCCATGGCGAGACGTGAGGACTCCAGCCTCCGTCGCGGGCTCGTTAGAGGAAGGAAGTGGGCCATCAGGCAAAGGGAAAGGCAAGGAAGGAACCATCCCTCTAGTCTCCAGAAGGGAGTGCAGCCCAGCCAGGCCCTGCAAGACAACCGCAGAACCACAGCATAGCTGCCTCTGGGTTACGGAGACTGGTTATGGCAGCTATAGGGAACCGACAGCTGGGGACCGAGAGTCCTCACTGCTCGCTAAGCTGTGCGGGTAACTGATGGGCACCCACAGGCCAGCCCACCTTCCTCTCTCGTGCCACGCCCGCCCGTGCCCCTGGACCCCGTTCTGGCTCCCCTCCCAGGGCCGCCCCCGCCGGGCACCACAGCTTCGGAGGGCATGGCAGGCGCCGGCGCAGCTCCTAGGGCGAGGCTGCTAAGAGGAAGCGCTGACTGAAGGGAGAGCCGTGAGCCGCCCCCGCGCACGAGCAGCGGAGGCGGCCAGCGAGGGCCCCTCCCGGAGACCGCGGGCCCTGCGCCCTGCGCAGCCGCGGAGCCCCGCCGGGGCGCCGGAAGCCCACGCTCCAGCACTTCCGGGAGGGGGCGGTGCCCGCGAAGCTGATTGGTGGTGGCGTCCCACGCGCCGTCGCGCCCTTCCTGCCGTGTGTGCGCGCTGTCCCGGCAGAGTCGCGGCATGGCGGACCCGGAGGCGCTGGGCTTCGAGCACATGGGTCTCGACCCCCGGCTCCTGCAGGTACCCGGGGGTACTGAGCGGCCGGGCCGACGTGGCTGGGGGCGGCAGCGGGGCGGCGCGCTGAGCCGCGCGTCGTGTCTCCTAGGCCGTCGCCGACCTGGGCTGGTCGCGACCCACGCTGATCCAGGAAAAGGCCATCCCGCTGGCCCTGGAGGGGAAGGACCTGCTGGCTCGGGCCCGCACGGGCTCGGGGAAGACGGCCGCGTATGCCATTCCCGTGCTGCAGCTGCTGCTCCACAGGAAGGCGGTGGGTCGCGGCGGCGGGGTGAGGGGACCGGGGCTCCCGCCGGCCTCGCACCCCGAAGGCCGGCCCGGGATGCCGCTGTGCTCAGCGCTCCGGGCTGGGGTTCGAGTCGCCTGCCCCCGATCCGGGCGCTGCTGTCATCCTTCTTGGCGTCTTCTCGAGCGCGTCCCTTTTCCTTCTTCCTGCTGTAAAAAGCGGGGAGGTCTCCCGGTTCTGTTTGTAGAATTAGCATGAACGTCCAGCGCTCTAGGTGCTGGATTTTCAGCAACATGCTAACCGCGGAGTTGTGTCTTTTGAGGGTCAGTGCCCGGGGAAAGAGCCCTCTGTTCTATGCTCTATTCTGTTCTGTTCTGGGGAGGGTGACAGTCAGTGAGGGGTTGGTGGAAGGCCCACCGTTCGGTCAGATTGTCGGGGGCCTTAGGTGGCCCTGAGGTCGCGGGCTGGCTGGCTGAAGTCTGTCATTCGTGCTCTTGCAGACAGGCCCTGCAGTAGAGCAGGCTGTGAGAGGGCTTGTCCTGGTGCCCACCAAGGAGCTGGCGCGGCAGGCCCGGTCCATGATCCTGCAGCTGGCTGCCTACTGCGCTCGAGATATTCGGGTGGCTGACGTCTCTGCTGCGGAAGACTCAGCCTCTCAGCGGTGGGTGAGAGCCACAGGGCTGTAGAGGAGTGAACCTGCACAGGGATGCGGGATTGGGTTTGCTGGGGTTGTGTGCAGTAAACAGGGCTGCTCGGGGTGCGATGTGAGTTGCTGCATACTCCCTGACACGGAGGTGTTGCCCACCTGCAGATCTGTGCTGATGGAGAAACCCGACATAGTCGTGGGGACCCCATCGCGCATCTTGAACCACTTGCAGCAGGACAATTTGGTCCTGCGAGACTCCCTGGAGCTGCTGGTGCTGGATGAGGCCGACCTTCTGTTCTCCTTTGGATTCGAGGAAGAACTCAAGAGTCTGCTCTGGTAAGGGAGGGCTGCGTGCAGCTGTGACTAGAGGCTGGGGCCTGGAGCTGGAGGCTGACTGGCTCTGTTTTGTTCTAGTCATCTGCCTCGGATTTACCAGGCTTTTTTGATGTCGGCTACCTTTAACGAGGACGTCCAAGCACTCAAGGAGCTGGTACTCCATAATCCAGTAAGGGCGCTATGGAAGCATCGGGGTCCCTGACACGTGGCCTTCCTGGTTCTGAGGCACTAGAAGCTGGTGGTTATCAAGACCCACCATCCACCAGTCTGCAGTCGCTACGTCATTGCAGATGTCTGCTGGGGGTGGTTCAAACATGCTTCACCTAAAGGCTGAAGCAGGGACCCTCGAGAGTCAGAAAGGCTGCTTTGAGTGGCACGGCCAAAGCTCTTGTGTTTGTGAACTTGGCTGTCCTGAGAGCTTGCTGCTGCGCGGGGCTTCCTTCCTCACTTACCATGTGTTTCGCTGTTCTGTGCCCCCTGCGTGTCGTAATCGTACGTCCTCTGCACAGCGTAATGGCTGGGGCGCTTTGAGTTGTCACGTCACCCAGTGGGAGGGGACGCGGGGTGCCCTGGTTTGAGCCAGCAGCGTGCCGCCTCTCTTCTGTCTCCTCCTCTTTTCTGACCACAGGGCTCTTTCCCTGCAGGTGACTCTCAAGCTGCAGGAGTCCCAGCTGCCGGGGCCAGACCAGCTGCGGCAGTTCCAGGTAGTCTGTCAGACAGAGGAAGATAAATTCCTGCTGCTCTATGCCCTGCTCAAGCTGTCATTGATCCGCGGCAAGTCCCTGCTCTTTGTCAACACTCTGGAGAGGAGTTACCGGCTGCGCCTGTTCCTGGAGCAGTTTAGCATCCCCACCTGTGTGCTCAACGGAGAGCTCCCGCTGTGCTCCAGGTACACCTGGCCTGACCCCTCGGCTGAGACATGGGAAGGGGAGACGCAGGGGTGCTCCTGTGTCTTCAGTGGGCAGTGGAGGCCAGGCTGTGGGCTTGACCGATTCTTACTGGCTTTCTTTGTCACGGCTTTGAGATTTCTGCCGTTGCTTCGTCTTCAGCTGAGGAGCTGAGGCACAAAGGTTATGCGGGAGCCAAGCTGGAGAAGAGGGAAGAGTCAGGATGACGGTTGTGATGATGTTGGGGGTGGGAGGGAGCCTCCGACTGGCTCTGGGGGCTGAGCCCTCCTCTGCTCTTGGGCTCTAGGTGCCACATCATTTCACAGTTCAACCAGGGCTTTTACGACTGCGTCATAGCGACTGACGCCGAAGTCCTGGGGGCTCCGGTCAAGGGCAAGCGTCGGGGCCGAGGATCCAAAGGGGACAGGTGAGTGCTGGTGTCTCCCTTCGCAAGTGCACTGCAGGGAGACTGTTTCCCCATCTTTCGGAAGGTGGTGAAACCGGATGCCCAGAGCAAGGGGTCCGGCGTTGGGGCCTGGCTGCCTGTGGGGCCCCGTTCGGCTGCCGAGGTCTGGAGAGAGCGAAGGGCGCGCATGCATGTTCCCTGAGGCAGCAGGAAGGGCCAAATGTCGTGGGTTGTTGGGGGTCGTCCTGCAAGGAGAGACGTGCAGCTGTGACTCGTGAGGAGGAGGTTTCTGAAGCGGTCGGGAGCTCCGGCCTTTGCCTGCCCAGCAGGCTGTCCGGCGAGGGGTGGTTCTCAGGTTGTCCTGTGGCGCGGTGAGTCCCGTCCTTCCCCCGGCACGGAGGTCAGGGCGAGGGCTCGGCCACCCCCGCTACCCCAGCTTCTGAAATAGTTCCGGTCTTAGGATTTTCAATCTATTAGAGGTCTCTGATTTTGTGGAAGGCTTTACTGAGCGATTTTGCTGATTAAACGGCTTGAGGTTGCTGGCTTGGAGGAGGGGTGGTCAGTCTGACGTTGGGACGTCTACCTACAGGGCCTCTGATCCGGAGGCAGGCGTGGCCCGGGGCATAGACTTCCACTACGTGTCTACTGTGCTCAACTTTGACCTTCCCCCCACCCCTGAGGCCTACATCCATCGAGCTGGCAGGTGGGAGAGCTGGGGCGTGGTGGGCAGACACCAGGACCGTGGGCTGTGGGCCAGAGATTGAGGCTGGGCCGTCTGTTCTTGCAGGACGGCACGCGCCAACAACCCGGGCATGGTTTTGACCTTCGTGCTGCCCACTGAGCAGTCCCACCTGGGCACGATCGAGGAGCTTCTCAGCGGAGGTAAGAACCCCCGCGCTCTCCTCCCACAACGCCTTAGGCCCACTGGTGGTAAGATAGCTCCTCCCACTCAGTCCTGCCCTGTGCCTTCTTCCTGTTCTATCCTCATTCCTGCCTCATGGGGGCAGGCAGGGTTCCCCACAGACGAACAAGCCGAGGTTTGGACTCGAGGGGCAGAAGGGCTAAAGGAGGGAAAGGGGTTTTGGGAGATGGGGATGGGGCTGGTGGTGTCTCCCAGGGACCCTGGGAGAGGGAGCTCAGTGGGGGGTGGGGGGGTCAGTTGCCAGGTTCAGGTCTGGGCGCCCGTTGGGCCTTCCAGAGGTGACGCTGAGGCAGTGTAGCTGGCGCTGTTCAGGCTGTGAGCAGCGGCTGGCAGAGGAGGCGTGGGTGGGGCTACCCACCAGCCAGGAGGCTCCCCGAAGGGTCCTCAGTTCTGCTTGTGTTGGGGGTCCAAGAAGGACCCTGTGGGATCGTACAGAAGAGGGGCCAGGGCGCTGCTTGGCGGGAGTGCGAGTGCTGCTTCTGTGCTGAGACGCTGGTTTGTCACGAATGTCAAGTGTCCAGAGTGGCCATGGGGGAGGAGAGTGGGTACGTGGGCAGGTTCTGAGGCTGCTGTGACGGGCACCTGGGGGACAACGGGCTGCCCAGCCACAGCGTGCTGGAGCAGCTGTCACGGGCTGTGCACGAGACCCGGCTGTTTCACCATACGCGCTCCTCGCAGGGAAGGCGTGGGCTGAGGGCCGGGCTGCTTCGCCCCGGGGAGGGCCTGGGGGGACCTCTGAGCAGATGGCCTCCGGTAGACCCACCCTGAATCTTCAGGGGACTCTCACTGCCGTGATTTCCACAGAGAACGGGGCCCCCGTACTGCTTCCCTACCAGTTCCGCATGGAGGAGATTGAGGGCTTCCGCTACCGCTGCCGGGTGAGCGGGATCTTGTGGTTGGGGGTGGGGGTGAGTCCCCCTGGGTCAGACCCCTGCCCCTGAGCTTCCAGGCACAAGGGAGGACAGGGCAGCGCCCCGCCCCCCCATCCTGACCTTTGGTGTCTATACCCAGGATGCCATGCGCTCAGTGACCAAACAGGCCATTCGAGAGGCGAGGTTGAAGGAGATCAAGGAGGAGCTTCTGCACTCAGAGAGGCTCAAGGTGAGGCTCAGCATCCGTGGGGGATGCAGAATCACCACTGTGGAGTTTGTCCTCGGCACATGTTGCCATGGTGGGGGGGGGTCCATGTGGGGGCCCGTGTGGAGGCCGTGTGGGGCATGGCTGCCTCAGGAAGGGCCATGTCCCTGCAGACGCGGCGCCTGAGGGAGGGGGGGAGACCAGAGTGGTGGCACCTCTTGGAGAGCACAGTGCACCTGCCCAAGGGCCCCCGTGGAGCCACAAAAGGCAGACCAACCCTGCCGTGTGCCCATCTCCTCCCGCAGACGTACTTTGAAGACAACCCCCGGGACCTCCAGCTGTTGCGGCACGACCTGCCCTTGCACCCTGCCGTGGTGAAGCCTCACCTGGGCCACGTCCCTGACTACCTGGGTGAGCGGATGGAACCTCAAGAGACTGGGCAGCTGGCACGCGCACAAGCACACAGACACGTCTGCTTGAATGTGTGGGCGTGCTCCCCCAGGATCCATAGAGACAGGGATCCCCCTGTGCTGGGGACACGGGAAGCAGGCAGTACGGAGGCCCCTGTGTGGTGGGTGCGGGCAGAGTCGGCACGGAGGTGGGGTGCTCCTGCTGCATCAACTGGTCAGGCAGCCATGGGGATGTGGAAGGGGGCACAGGCAGGAGGCGCTGTCGCCCCTGCCGGAGGACATGGGCCAATCACCAGGTAAAGCTGGGGTGGCGCAGGGGGAGTCTGTCGGCCCCATGGGGACCAGGGAACCCCTTCTGTCCTGTAGGAGCAAAGTCTTTGGCAGGAGTGTGAGGCCGGGGGGCCTTGGGGGTTGTGCCGCAGGTGGCAGCAGTGACAGTGTGGCCTGACAGGTGACAGAAGGCCGTGGGGGGAGAGATGTCCCGTGAGGGATGAACCGGTAATCAGGGGCCGTGTACGGAGAAGTTACAGAGAGACTTGTATTTTAGCAGTGTTTTTTTCCTTTAGAAACATGCGTATGTTTCTTTTCTGCCACGTGCTTTCTGCAGCCGGCTTAAAGGCAGCAGGGGAGCGACTTAGCCCGAGTTTCTGCGCCCTTGCCCCCACGGTGGCCATTCTTGCAGCCCTGGGCACGTCGGACTTGGGGCTGGTGTGCCGGGCCCTGGGTCAGAATCGGGGCGGCTCGCTGGGCACAGCTGGAGGGGGTGGGGTGTGAGGGGTCGTGGCAGCTGCTGAGTCTGTGCCTCTTCTAGTCCCCCCCGCTCTGCGTGGCCTCGTCCACCCTCATAAGAAGCGGAAAAAGCTGGCCTCCAGGAAAGTCAAGGTATGTGCCCCGGGGCCTTGGCCATGCTGCGGGGCTCCCCTCTTCCCTCATCCATTGTCATCAGGGTGCGCATGCACCTTGCCTTTGGGAGGGAGGGGAGAGGCCCTAAGGCCTGGCCCCAGACTCGGGGGTTGAGGGGCAAAGTTGTGGGGGCCGGGCACTCCCTGGGCCACCCCCAGGCAGCTTCAGGAGCACAGGATGGTCTGTTTTTCTGTCCTCATTGCCCAGCCTCTGCTCCAGGCAGTGGGAGGAAGAACGTGGGTGTTTAGTGGGCCACAGACGGTGACCGCGGCAGCTTTTGTCCTCGGCCCGGTGGCCTGTAGGGCCTTGCCAAGGGGCCACACCTCTCACCTCCCTGAGTCTGGGCAGACAGACGTCAGGTGCGCCCAGCTAACCTGTGGCTTTGCCCTGCAGAAGGCCAAGACCCAGAATCCCCTGCGCAGCTTCAGGCACAGAAAAGAGAGAAGCAGACCCACAGCCGTGCCTTCCTGAGGTCGTCTGCGCAGCCTCGCTGGCTCCCAGGGCCCCTTCCCAGGCTGAGCGCCGAGCAGGGTGCGGGCGCCGGCTTCCCACCCTGGCTGGACTGGATTCCGGAGCAGGCCCGTGGTGCTGCCCTGCTCGCCTAATAGACTCCATCCGTCCTGACTCAGGCTTCCTGCAAGTAGGAAGGGATGCCCATCCCTGGGAACCTTGGGAATTAAATTGCTTCCGGGAGGTTTTCTGCGTTGTGTGTGTGGCGGCTGCCTGGCCGGCAGAGGTCAGCTATGAGGCGCTGCCGCAGCTCGTCTGGGTCTCTGGCCCAGCCCACTGCCGGCCAGACTGACCGACCTCCCTCCCCCGGAGCTTGGAGACCGTGAGCCTTCCCAGCTAGGAGCCCCATACCTCCACATCCAAATCTGGGCGCCTCTGCACCCGAGCCAAGGGGACTGGCTCCTGTGTTCCCGCCCCACTCCCTATAGACATATTTGTGTATTCCGTACATGCGGGTGTGGTGGTGAGATGCGTGTGCTCGCTGTTGGATGCTCCTTACTGAGCCAGCAGGTCCCGGTTTGAGAAGGCGGGGGTCTCGAGGGGGCGGAGTCCTGGCATTACTGTCACCTGCTTATGGGCATCATGAGGAGGCTGTGCTTCTGCTTGCTGTTCGGGTGTGATAGCGCTTGGGGTAGGTGAGGTTTTGACATTTCCCGCTCCTGTTGTGTTTGAGGGTTTCTGGGTAGCCGCGGTTTACAATGGTGTTGCTCAGGCGGGGCTCTGCCAGCAAGCCCGGGTGAGCCACTGGGGTTCCAGCAGGCCTGGAGCCACCAGGCTGCTGGGCTTCCGTCCCCCGTGGACCGTCCCACCTGCTCTGTGAGGCAGGCGAGGAGCTGAGGCCTGGCCGTGAGGTCAGCCTTCTCCCTCATGGTTCTAGGTCCTCTGGCCCCGCCACCTCCAGGTGCTCCCGGCCAGGGGGCTTGTGTCCCAGAACCAGTCCAGATCCAGATGCAGGAGAGTTGGGGGCCAAGGGGACTCGTCTGGGCCTTTGTCCCCGCCTGTGGATGGAGCTGGGGCTGTGTACCCATCACCCTTAACAAGCCTCAGACAAGGGTATCCCACATTCCTAGGCTCAGAGAAGTTCCCCGGTGCACTGAGCTCACCAGGCCAGTGAGGGCTGGTGGGCGGGGCCCCGCTGTCCACCCCCGCAGGGGCCTAGCTGACATGGCTGGCATTGTCACCAACACGGGCAGGTCCTATCTGAGGCCCTTGGGAAGCTGGGCTGTGCCTGTGATCCCCTCCCCAAGCTATTACAGGCCCCTACACTTGGTAGGGTCTGACCTGGCTGGGCGGTGGAGAGGGTGGTGTGTCTCTGTGCCCTGACCCCACAGAAGGAGGGTGTCCAGGGGCCTAGACATCTCATTCAATCCCCACCCCACCCTGGGGATAGGCCTCACTGTGTCCATTTACTTAATTTATATATGGGGAAACTGAGGTCTCCAGGGACTGGACTTGTCCATCTGATGCACATCCAAACTAGAGCCGGACAGGCCCTGCATGGGAGGGGCACTGTGGGCCTGGAAGGGGTGGGGTAGGGTGAACCTACTCGAAGCTTGAAGCGAAGGTTCCTGGTGGGAAGGCTGGCCGGTGACCACCTCCCCCCCACCCCTGCTGGCAGAGTCACACCCACACGGAAGCCTGAGTGGGCGCTGCTGTTCAGGCAGGCAAGGGGCTTTAGGGGATTGAGAATCAGGCCTTGGATGCACCCAAGCTGTGGATTCCAAAGGCTAGGGCCTGCCAGGTGCCGGCGCTGAGTGAGGGCAGGAGGGGTGTGGGGTGCCTGCAGCCAGCGCACAGAAGGGGACCAGCATGTACAAATACTCCAGGTGGGGGGGGGCCCAGCCCATCTGAGGACGAAAGGAATCAAAAGTGGTCATCACCAAAATAGGTAAAGGCTAAAAAATTGATTTATTTCAGAGATAACACAGTGACATGTAAAAAATTCAGAAGATAAACAAACGAGCAGGTGGTTTTCAAGCAGAGAAGCACTGTGATCAGATAGGCCAGCAGCCGCGGTGATAACGGATGGGAGAACACTGTGTCCTAGAAACCTCTGGACCCAGAGCACGAAGCGCTCAGGTGCATTTCTGACTAGCTAACCCCTGCATCTGCTGAGGATCAGTGACTCAGGGGCGCTTGCTGCTCTAGGCACTTTGGTCTCCGGGGGCAGTGGCAGACAATCAGGTGGAATTCGTGCAGGGAGGCGCCCCTGCCAAATGCTTGCCCCCTCTCCCTACCCCGCCTCCGGGAGGAAGTGTCAGGATGTCCTGCCTCGCCAGTCTGTGGTGTGGATCCCAGCCATGTGTACCTGGAAAACGAAGCAGGGCTCATCCACTGGGGAGGGGGCCAGGCACTGCTGGGCAGACACCCACTCAGGACAGCAGCTCAGTGTCTGTTCAACCACCAGCTCACCCGCAGTCCCTGCAGCCAAACTGGGAGCAGCCACGTCGGCAGCTCTTCAGTGTGCTAGCCCAGCCTGGCTACCAGGGAGGCCCCTCACTTGTCTCGGCTTCCTCCTGGGGTCTCATCTGTGAGCGGGGTAAAGTGACCCGTGCCAGCGATCCTGTGTTGGGACACACCATGAGGTCAGGCAGCCTCAGCGCCCCCGCGGGTGGCTCTATGCAGGGTGCCCCTCCAACTTCAGTGCACGTCCCAGTCATAGAGGCCTGTGCTTACGGTGCGGGTCCTGGCCAGCAGGTCCTGGGCAGGGCCCCTGCCAGGGGAGGCCTGAATGCCTACAACACCCACCCCATTCTACAGATTGAGAAGCTGAGGCTCACAAAAAGCAAGCCAGGCCAGTGCCACCTGGCTGAGGGACAGAGTGGGCGGGTACTCAGATCTGTGGACGCCACTCTGGAACCCTAGGTGAGCGAGCTCCGCTCAGCTCTGTCCCATCCCTTCTCTGAGCCTCATCTTCATCTGTGAGATGCAATGATGAAGGGTGTCACTTTTTAGCGTAAGTATGTCCTGTGCAGTATTTGTGATACACTAAAAAATTATTCATTGTTTATCTGAAATTGAAATCTGGATGGGTGATCTGCTTCTTGGCTAAATTTGTACGCTCTCTTGCTGGGGTATGGCCTCCTCCAGCGAGTCTTGCTGACTCCCCGCCTGGGCTGGACACCCTCTTCTTTGTGTCCGTAATACTGCCTTGACCCCACGACGCTTGTCTCTGGGCTGCTGTCCACCCTGGCCGGCGAGGCCTGGAGGCAGGGGCCATGCCAAGTGCCTTGCTGCCCAGCCGGGACTCCTAAAAGGATCAAGCTCTTCCTGAGACTATCCCTGGTGCCTGAGGCTCTTAACTATTTCCAGTTAAGAGGAAAAAGATGAAAAGGATGTACTGACCAGGCTGGACTCTGCCCCCTGACACAACAGCCTGGACGCACCCTACATGTCCCCTCTGTGACTCAGAGTGGAGACTGTGGGGCTGCCCCAGGCTGGGGCTGGTTGCCAAGGTTGTTGGTTTCTGGTGAAGTCAGAGGCCCATCCCTTCCTACACTCATCTGCTCCCTGGACAGGGGCGGTTCCCCCACCTGTGGACCCTGCTTCAGACCCCTTCTCGGGGCTCCTTTGGGTCCTACGGCTCACCATCTGACTCATCGGCCCCAGATTAGGAAGTGCAGAGGTGGTGGTGCCCAGAGGGACCACCACGGACAGGGGCCCCCATGAAGACACCCACCCAACTCACAGGGCTGGTAAGAACATGAGGAGCCACATGATGCTTGTCAAGTAGAGAATAAGCATCTAGGTTCAGCTTTCCAGACCTTGTCCCCACTTGGCCTGGACACCTGGCTCCAATCCTGACAGCCCCCACTTGGTGGTCTGGCCTCTGTGTTCTTAGCCCTGCCCACATCTTGGCGTATTGAGATCTAAGATCTTTTCTGGGTCCTGGAGGTGGGCCAGAGGTGCTTAGGGAGGCAGCAATGAGGGGCAGATTGGGCTGCCCACCTGTCCCTTCCAGGGAGCCCTTGGGAGTGATCTGGGGTCTTGTCCATGGAGGAGTTCTATAAAGCAGACTGCTGGCCTCAGGCCTGGGTCACCCTCTCCATGGGCCTGCAGGCCCTTCCCCACCTTAGCAGGGCCTGGAGAAGCAGCTTCCCAAGATGTCCCCACCAAGAAGCAGGGACAAAGGACCCGACAGCCTGAGTGCTGCTGAGCTCCAGGGACAAACAATCTAATGTGTTCACTGAAATGTGTAGATTGGACTCTTATATGTATTAAGGATCCCTGCCCCCTGGAACCAGGAACTTAGCCTCCAGGAGCAAAACACACAAGGCAACAGGTGAAGTGCCGTGATGGCTGGAGCAGGGGAAGCCATCTGGGCTCGGGATGGTGATTGAGGTCCCTGCCATCCCCCCACTGATGGAGGATTTGGCGTGAGCGGTGAAGGACTGGCAGGATTTGGGAAAATTTGGTGGGGGTCACAGCAAAGCTGGGAGGAAGGGACCAGCAGGGTTGCATGGAGAGCAGTGAGCAGATTAGTGGGCTTAGCAAACACTTCCATAGGCCTGTGGTTCTTGGGACGCCTGGGGGCCTCAGGGGGTTAAGCGTCTACTTTCAGCTCAGGTCATGATCCCAGGGTCCTGGGATGGAGCAGGGGGCCCACTTCTCCCTCTGCCTGTGGCTCCCCCTGCTTGTGTGTGTGTGCTCTCTCTGGCAAATCAATCAGTAAAATCTTAAAAAAAAGTGGGAGGACAGTGGTTCTCAACCAGGGGTGTTACGTGTTTGCAGGGCATCTGGCAAGGAGCGGAGACAATTTAGGTGGTCCCTCTGGGGGGCGGTGCCACCGACGTGTACTGGGCAGAAGCCAGGGATGCTGCTAAAACCCTCTGGATGCCCAGAGCAAGCCCCGCGCAGAGACACCTGGCTGGGGAGGTTGAGGGCCTGCAGAGCAATGGTAGCGGGTGCGCTGGAAGCCAGGCGGGAGGGGGCGGCGGTCTCCCCGCATGTGACTTCGGAGTGCACACAGCTGCAGTGACAGACACCAGATGGCAGGCGGACACGAGGGCTGGCTTCTTTCTCAGGTGTCCGGAATGCTGCAGACCGTCACTATGCCATCAGAGGCCCAGGTTCTTCCATCTCCTTTGCCATCTTTTTTTTTTTTTAAAGTGGTAAAATATATATAAAATAAAATGTATTGTCTTTTATCATTTTAAGTGTGCGGTTCCATGGCATTAAGCACGCTCACGTTGCTGTGTGGCCTCACCGTCTGTGTCTAGAATGTTCTCATCTCCCCAAACAAGCTCTGTCCCCTTGAAACACTAGCTCCCCGTGCCAACCCCTGGCACCCCCCACTCTGCTCTCTCTGTGGATCTGACCGCTCTGGGGACCTCATGCACATGGAGTGTCCTTCTGTGACCTGCTCTTTGCACTCAGCCTCACGTCTTTGAGGTCCATCCGTGTAGGAGCTTGTGTCAGAACTTCATTCTGTTTTGTGGTTGGGTAGTAGTCCGTGGCATGTGTACGCCACATTTTATCCCCTCAACTGTTGACAGCCACCTGGCTTGTCTCTGGCTTTCGGCTGTTGTGAATAATGCTGCCACGAATGTTCTATGTTGAACCTTTTAAGGACCTGCCACACTGCGTTGCCACCAGCAGTGCGTGAGGGCTCCCCTTTCTCCATGTCCTTGACAACGCTTAGTATCTTCCATTGCTTTAATAACAGCCAGCCTGATGGGTGTGAGGCAGTGTCGCTCTGTGATTTGATTTGCATTATCCTCATGACTAATGATGCTGAGCAACATTTCACATGCTCCCTGTCTTCTCTGGCAAGAAGTCTGTTCAAGTCTTTTGCCCGTTTTTAAACTGAGTGGGTTGTTTGGCTGTTGAATTTCAGGTCTTCTTTATATATTCTGGATATTAATCCCTTATCAGATAAGTGTTTTGCAAATGTTTTCTCCTGTTTTGTGGGTTACCTTTGCATTTTCTTGATGGTGTCGTCTGATGCACAAAGCACTTCAACTTTGACGAATTCTAATTTATTTTTTCTTTTGCCTGTGCTTTTGATATCCTAGCATAGAAACTATTGCTAAATTCAGCATCATGAAGACATCCCTTAGGTTTTCTTCTCAGAGTTTTATAGTTTTACCTCTTTCATTTAGATCTTGATCTGTTTTGAGTTAGATTTTGTCTGGGGTGAGAGGTAACAATCCAACCTCATTCTTCTGTATATGAACATCCAGTTTTCCCAGCACCTTGTGTTGAAAAGCCCATCCCTGGTCTATATGTCTGTCCTTCCGGTGCCACACTAATTTTGAGAACTGTAACTTTGTAGTAATTGTTGAAACAGGAAGTATGAGTTTTCCGACTTTGTTCTCGTTTGTCAAGATTGTTTTGGATATTTGGGGCACCTCAAGTTTCCATATGCATTTCTGCAAAAGTGTCCTTGGGATTCTGAAAGGAACGGCATTGAATCTGTAGATCACTTTGGGTGTCTGGACATCTTAACAATAGGTCTTCCAGTCAAAGAACATGAGATGTCTTTCCATCATTTGTGCCTTCTTTAATTTCTTTCGTGATGTTTTGTAGTTTTCAGTGTATAAGTAATTTACCTCCTTGAATTTATTCCTAAGTATTTGATTCTCTTTGATGCTATTGCAGATGGAATTCTGTTCTTTTTTTTTTTTTTAAAGATTTTATTTATTTGACAGAGACATAGCGGGAGAGGGGAACACAAGCAGAGGGAGTGGGAGAGGGAGAAGCAGACTTCCCGCTGAGCAGGGAGCCTGATGTGGGACTCAATCCCAGGACCCCGGGATCATGACCTGAGCCGAAGGCAGACGCTCAACCACTGAGCCACCCAGGTGCCCCTGGAATTCTGCTCTTAATTTTCTTTTCAGATTGTTTACTGTTGGTGTATAAAAACGCAACTGATTTTTGTGCAACTGATATTTTCAGTACAACTTCGCTGAATTTGTTTATTAGCTCTGGTAACTTTCTTGTAGGTTATTTGAGATTTTTCTATATATAGGATCATGTCATCCGTGAATAGAGATAGTTTTACTTCGTTTTCTCCAGTTTGGATGCCTTCTGTTTCTTATCTACCTGATCTGGCTGGAACATCCAGTACAATGTCAAATAGCAGTGCTGAAAGGCATCTTTGTCTTGTTCCTGATCTTCGGGGGAAACTCCCAGCCTCTCACCATTATGATGTTTGCTGTGGGATTTTCATAGATGTCCTTTATCATGTTGAGGAAGTTCCCTTCTATTTCTAATGTGTGGGGTTTTTTAAAAGGTTTGTTTGTTTGTTTGTTTATTGATTGATTGATTGATTGATTGATTGATTTTAGAGTGAGAGAGAGAGAGAGAGTGTGTGTGTGATGGGGGAGGAGCGGGAGAGGGAGGAGGAAAGGATCTCAAGAGGGGGGTCTTCCTCTCTGAGCGTGGAGCCCAACATGGGGCTTGATCTCACGACCCTGAGGTCATGACCTGAGCTGAAATCAAGAGTCAGATGCTTAACCAACTGAGCCACCCAGATGCCCCCTATTTCCTGGTGTTTTTGATGATGAAAGGGTCTTTGATTCTGTCAAATACCTTGTATGCATCAGTTGAAATAACTATGTGACTTTTCCCCTTTATTCTATCAATGTGATATATTACACCGATTGATTTTCTTATGTTGAACCACCTGTGCATTCATGGGATAAGTTTCACTTGGTCATGATGTAACAATCCTCTTATGTGCTGTTGGATTTGGTTTGCTAGTGTTTTGTTGACAACTTTTGCATTTGTATTTATAAGGGATATTGGCCTAATGTTCTTTTCTTGTGATGCCATTGTTTGGCTTTATTATCAAGGTAATGCTGAACTCATAGAATGAGTTAGAAAGTGTTCCCTCCTCTTTGGTTTGTTTGAAGAGTTTAAGTAGGATTGGTTATAATTCTTCTTTAAATATTTTTTAGAGTTCGACAGTAAAGCCATCTGGTCCTGGGCTTTTATGTGTTGGAAAGGCTCTGGTTACTGATCCAATCTCTTAACTAGTTGTAAGTTTGTTCAGATTTTCTATTTCTTCATGATT